TTCAAGGGGTTGATCATAAATATCAAGTACACATTTTAGGAACTGCAAACATTTTTATGCACAGTCCTTCCATTTTCAGGGGCTTAAAATGTAATTGGACAAATGAATATAATCATAAATAAAATGCTCATTTTTAATATTTTGTTGAGAATCCTTTACTGGCAATGACTGCCGGAAGTCTGGAACCCATGGACATTACCAAAGATTGGGTTTCCTCCTTTCTGATGCTTTGCCAGGCTCTAACTGCAGCTGTCTTCAGTTGTTCTTTGTTTGTGGGTCTTTCTCCCTTTTAGTTTTGCCTTCAGTAAATGAAATGCATGCATGCTCGATTGGGTTGAGATCAGCTGATTGACTCGGCCATTGCAGAATATTCCACTTCTTTTCCTTCAAAAGCTCCTGGGTTGCTTTTGCAGTGTGTTTTGGATCATTGTCCATCTGTGCTGTGAAGCGCCGTCCAATCAACTTTGCTGCATTTGGCTGAATCTGGGCTGACAGTATATGTCTAAACACTGCAGAGCTTATCCGGCTGCTTCTGTCTTCTGTCACATCATCAATAAACACCAATGACCCAGTGACACTGGAAGCCATCCATGCCATCGCACTGCCTCCGCCATGTTTTACAGATGACGTTGTGTGCTTTGGATCATGAGCTGTTCCAAGCCTTCTCTACACTTTTTTCTTCCCATCATTCTGGTACAGATTAATCTTAGTTTCATCCATCCAAAGAATGCTTTTCCAGAACTGGTCTGGCTTTTTTAGATGTTTTTTGGCAAAGTCTAATCTGGCTTTTCTATTCTTCAGGCTTATGAATGGTTTGCACCTTGTGGTGAACCCTCTATTTGCTCTCGTGAAGTCTTCTCTTGATTGTAGACTTTGACAATGATACGCCCACCTCTTGGAGAGTGTCCTTCACTTGTCTGGATGTTGTGAATAGGTTTTTTTGTTTTTTTTTACCATAGAGAGGATCCTGTGATCATCCACCACTGTTGTCTTCTGTGAACGTCCATGCCTTTTTATGTTGCTGAGCTCACTCACCAGTGCATTCTTCTTTCCTCAGAATGTACCAAACGGTTGATTTGGCCGCTCCTAATGTTGCTGCTATCTCTCTGATGGATTTGTTTAGTTTTTGAAGCCTTACAATAGCCTGTTTCACTTGCATGGACAGCTCCTTTGAACACATGATGTAGGTTCACAGCACTAGATTCCAAATGCAAATACCACACTTAGAATCAACTCCAGACCTTTTACCTGCTTAATTGATGAAGAAGAAATAATGGAGTAGCCCACACTTGGCCATGAAACCGCTTTTGATTCAATTGTCCAATTACTTTTGGTCCCTTGAAAAAGGAGGGATGGCTACTCTTAAAGCAGAGTTCCACCTGCAAAAAAAAAAAGTCATCAGCTACAAAAACTGTAGCTGCTGACTGTTAACCATTAGCCGCCCGGCCAATGGCCGTTTGGTGGCTTCAAAACTGTCTCTGCACTCCGGGTGCACGCCATTTGGCGTGCTCCCGCACATGCGCAGTTTGCGCTAATGCAGAGGGGCGCAGCAGTGCGATCTGTCACCGGCCGTGCACCTCGGACACGGCCGATGACAGATCCGAGTACCGGCTCCCGTTGCTGGTACCATGTGACCTGCTGTGACCAATCACAGCAGGTCACATGACAGTTGTATACAATGGATGGCTTCATTCATGATGCCATCCATTGTATACTAGTGCCTAGCTGTGAATGGTCACAGCTAATCACATGCACATGTCATGTGATTAGCTGTGACCAAATCACAGCTAAGCACAAAAAAAAAAAAAAAAAAAAAAAAAAAAGCTGAATGAATCGATTTCATTCAGGTAAATGCTTGCTTATAGCAAAGTAATTCTTTGCTATAAGCAAATTGTGTAAAAAAAAAAAAAAAAAAAAATACTGATCACTTCCCCAAAGTAGTACAATGTTACTATGGTAACATTGTACTACTTTGGTCATAGTAAAATATGAAAAAAAAAATCTTAAAAAAAATAAAAAAAAATGTAATAAAAAATTAAATATAATAAAAAAATTAAATATATATATATATATATATATATATATATATATATATATATATATATACACATATTTTTTATTATTATTATTATTATTTATTATTTTTTTTTTTCATACTGTCACCAGTCAGTGTCCCTGTTCACCGCCATGCCAGTTATATGATGACGCTGTACTGCACTGGTGACCGTATGTAAAAAAAAAAATAGTGAAAATAATTTTTTTAATTTTTTCGTTTTCGGAAAAATTATGACAAAAAAATACAACTTCAAAAAACTCGCCATGCCTCTTATGAAGTACGTCGGACTGTCTACTCTGCAAAAAGGGATCATTTGGGGGATATCTGTACTATTCTGACATTCTTGGACCTCAAGAAATTAGATTGGCTGTCAGTACTTCAGGATTGATCAATATTCAGATCTATACCATAGTTTGTGAACTCTATAACTTTCCTACAAACTAAAAAATACATCCTAATTTGGGTTATTTTCACCAAAGACATGTAGCAGAATACATCTCGGCCTAAATTTATGAAGAACAATTATTTATTTGTAAACTTTTATAACAGAAACAAAGAAAAATGTGTTTTTTTTTCAAAATTTTTGGTCTTTTTTTGTTAATTTAGCAAAAAATAAAAACCCCAGCGGTGATTAAAATACCACCAAAAGAAAGCTCTAGTTGTGTGAAGAAAATGATAAAATTTTAGTTTGGGTACAGTGTTGTATGACCGCGCAATTGTCATTGAAAGTGTGAGAGCGCTGAAACCTGAAAAACGGCCTGGCCAGGAAGGTGTAAAATTGCACGGTATTGAAACGGTTAAAATACAGACGGTCCAGCGGTGTCCTCACCACCGCTGGTTTCACCGGCCATCTTCTCTCCCTGGCTTCGGCATCTTCAGTGTGGGCACCCGGCTGTGACAGCTTGCGGCTTCACAGCCGGGTGCCCACTGCACATGTGCGAGAAGCACTGCACTTCCTGAATGGGCCCCGTAGTCTTCTGGGGCCTGTCACGTGTCCCAAAAGACTACAGAGAGGGATGGGGGGAGGACAACCTCCGCTTCTGATACCCTAGGCGAACGCAGCGAAAGTGGGAGCGGGTACCTGTCAAATTCGGGTACCCGCTCCCCAAAGGTGCTAATCCTTAATGGGGAGCGGAGGGACAAAGGCTTAAAGCGAAACTTCCCCTTTTGGGTGGAGCTCCGCTTTAAGAGCTGTAATTCCTAAACCCTTCCTCCAATTTGGATGTTAAAACCTGTGCAATTTCAGCTGATATCCATTATATAACTATAGCTTGAATATATTTTGGTAAATACCTGAAAAAACAAAAATTGTGCCTGGATCCAAATATATATGGACCTAACTGTATATGGAATACTTTCTAGATGAAATCTGCTAATTCATAACTTCACAATTCTCAGAGACGTTTGTTTTTAACGAGTTTTGCACCAGGGATGCGACAAAGCACATATATCCACATGATAATACACTGATCTGATAAGTCACAGGAATGAAAACTGACAGGCATACAAATACTTTGGTATTCATTAGGTTAGAGTCTGTCCCTTTTTCATGGTATATCCTCTAGTACTCAGGAACACTTGGTAGGTGTTAGGCAAGTGTGTGAAAGAGAGTACACATTCCAGTGCATGCATTTTATGAATAAATGCAAAGGGTGTTGGGGATGTAATTAGGGGTTTAGAAGTCTAACATAGACTTAGGAAAGGGGGAAAAGTGGATGGTATTTTTTAGGGAGAATCTATAGAGCAGTTAGTTACTACTGAGAAAAAGAAAGTGTTTGTGATTTCAAAGAAAAGGCATTGATCTATAATTCATTTGATATGATCGCAGATTTTGACACTGCAGCTCTCCAATGCCAGTTCTAAAGCCGACTATACACAAAACAATCGAATTGTACACTCTCTGTACAATCAAATTTAGATTTACCAAATCTGTGTAAAAAGGAGATCTGAGCAGAAGTGGGAGCCCCCCGCCCCAAACAAAATATGCAACTATAGCACAGGAGGGTGGGAGGAGGAGAAAGAGCGGAACTTCCTCTTTTTGTTGAAGTTCCACTTTATGTAATAACAATGTTATAGCCCATAGCAGAAATGTAGGCATTGCTCTGGTCCATGTGGGGTGTGAGATGTGAAATGGTTAAATTGCAATAATTTAAATAGAAAAGTTTATACACCCAAGTGCAGGTGGTAACAGTGCCTCTGTTTCTGAACTCTTTTAGGTATTACTCCCAGGATGTGCTGTACTCTCCCACAAAGCATTAAACTGTCCTATATGTGTTCCTTCTATTTCAGCAACAAATTAAGCGTTCTGCAAGGATGTGCGGTGAGTGTGAATCTTGCAGCCGCACCGAGGATTGTGGACAGTGTGATTTCTGCAGAGACATGAAGAAGTTTGGAGGCCCCAACAAGATCCGTCAAAAGTGCCGCTTACGTCAGTGTCAAGTGAGAGCACGGGTAAGAGTGTCACTGCGTGAGCTTTGCCTTGTGAGTGACATGTCAGCGTTGTTTTTCTCTCTGCATTTAACACCTGCCCCACACTGTAAAAAAGGCCAGTTTAGCTGTTTGCATAATAAGATGCCTTCAAGAGGTTTTCCATATTCAGCTAGAAAGCAGAAGGTCTGTGCATATAGCCTGCCCTTTGCTGACAGCTGGGGTCCCCACATTTTAATCCCATTGATTAGCTGAAACAGCTTTTCCAATGAGACCCACTCAAGGATTTGAAGACCTTTGGTGGGCTTCTGAGGCCAGAATGCACTGAAGTTCCTCTAATAAAATATGAGCATATTATATGAAAAGTTCAAAAAAGGAAGGCATCGGCCTAGAACAATCCATCAGCTAGGGGATTTCATCTGTTGTGAGTTTCTGATTGGTTGGTGTGTTTTACTCCACTTTGCTGTTTGCCCGATAATAATCTTCTCATACATCTGCTATGGGTTGTCTTCAGAAAATGCTGCGTGTTAAGGACGATGAACTTACAGTGTTTAGGGATACCCCAGAACCGCCCAGCCTTGCCGAATCTCTCTCTGACGACGACCTTCCTCTGGATCCAGAACTGTTGCAAGAACTGTGTGCTGGAGGAGCTTTCGATGACCACAACTTGGTAACTGAACTTTGCTCGGAGTAGATGGAGATAGCTCTAGCTGTAGAACTTTCATAATAAGACTTGTGTTTCTGCAGCCATGGCTCAGTGACACAGACGACGCGCCATTTCTCGACTCTGTGCTGAGGAAGAGAGCCGTCAAAGTAAAGCACGTTAAGAGACGCGAGAAGAAGTCAGACAAAAAGGTATGTCAGTTTTTGCCTCGTGGAAGCCTAAGTTGGCCATACTTAGGCCAACTTTTGGTTAGCATTGGAACTGCGTCAGTGAGCTCTAACAACGGGCCGTCTATGGGATGTAAAGTAACTGATCCCATGCTCCTTGTTGGTAAGGAACATTTTCCTGAATTCTGGAAAATCTCTTGCAGCCAATCTTTGTTACCAATATTAGGTGCAGTTTTTACAGTGAGTAACATCCTATGCACACAGTTTGGTTAAAGGGGGCATCTGTGGACTTTCTGAAAACATACTTTGTTTTCCACTGATGCTTGGGTTGAAAGAATGTGTTGAGTTGACAAGCTGTAAGTAAGGCATTCACTCCACCTTGCGTTCATCTTCCTTGGAAACAGTGGAGCCTGAGACGGCATGCAGGCTTTGATTCTATGAAATGGGACCCATTTCTCCCCCTTATTAAGGATTTTTGATTGAACACCAACAGTGCAGGCACACTGATAGGGCTGTGTTTGCCCCATGTTTGTGTTTGGGCATGCTAACCATGGGTTTCAGTAATCCTTTTTTAAGATAAATTTTGCTTCTGAAAGTGCTAGGTACCTCAGCTGTTAAGCTGATCTTCTGACTTCATTATTTTCTCAATCAATGACCACGAACAAGTATCCAGATTAGAAAAAGTTGGAGAAAAGCCATAAGTTCTTATATGCACACTTCTTCTCAGTAGCTTTGATTTACTAAAGACAAATAGGCTGTACACTTTGCAAGAAATTTTGCCCCAGAGCTTAGTGAATGTGGTGAAATTTCACATTTGCAAGGAATATCCAATCACATGCTAGTAAAAAAAAAACATTTGCGCTTGCACGTGATTGGATGACGGAAGTCAGCAGAAGTTCACCTCATTCGCTGAGTTCTGGGGAAAATTTTCCTGCAAACTGTAACCTAAAGTGAACAGTGTATATTCCCTTAGTAGTAAATCAAACCCAGTGAAGTATTGAAGTACAGGTTCACTTGTATGTCAATTTGCAAAACGAAGACCACATACCACCTTCCAGTGGTAAGGTAGCAGAATTGCCCTGAATCAGTCAAGTAGAACCAATAATGACATGAAGAAAAGCTTTATCTGCATATTCAAGCTAGAATGCAGAAAGCATATATACTGGATATTGCATACAATTGGTTTCATGAATTGCTCTCTCAGCAAACCTTTCAGGTGATTTCTAGATTCTGGTTGCAATGTATTGCAGAGAACACAGATTAAAGTAAATCCATTTAAATTTTTGATTTTAACACAGCCGTGGTGTTTGTTGGATACAGTTAGTAGATTGTGGGTTCACTTATCGCCTGGAATAGCTCATTAACAAAAAGTCCAGAACTTGCACCAAGAAATATACATTCCTGTGTACAGGTAACCTGTTTTTTCAATAAAGATTAACAATTTTAAAGGGATAACTCCATTACAATCCCTAAAAATATATACCCTGTTACCAGGGTCCATCTGGCTTTAAAAAAAAAAAATAAAAAATACTCCCCTTCAGACACAAGCTGCTGCAGGATGACTGACAACTCCGCAATCGTGTTTCTATAGAAACAAGTGCACTGGAGACCTTCTCTTCACCTTGGCGCATGCACATTGGAATTCCATAGACTCTAATTGATTCCCATCTCTGCAGCATTTGGGGCAGCGGTGGATCAGGTTGATCAGGAAATCTCCAGTGCTAAGGTTTCTTTAGAATTTCTGAGTTACAGGGAGTAATGCAGCGGCATCTGCATCAGAAGATGAGTGTTTTTTATTGTAGTAGGACAGGGACACTGTTAATGCAGAATATTTCTTTCTGGAGTTAATCATGGAGTTACCATTTGAAGTGATCTATGCAAGCAAAAAAGCAATGCACATGTACTCCCTTTACCAGTATGCATGTAGGCTAACTAAGGTATGTGATTTTTTTCAAAATTTGGCAGTAATAATGCCCATAAAGGCATTTTTTGTTATGCTTTTATAAAATTTAAAGGGCTGGTTCATCCAAAACTGATATTTCATTTTTTTGTAGGTGCTGGAGATTTAAATCACCTAATTGTTTATTTAACCTCTCAGGAAGTTTGATGGTGAGATCTCTGTACTTGGGTTCCCAGCTATACACATATGCTGTGGCCATTACAAAGGGGGTTCCAGTTTCCTAATGGGGCTTTTGCATTTGTTTTATAATATGATTAACAAATGTGTGTCGACGTGAAAGAAGACATTTTGGAATTGGGCGTAAGTTTCTCTATAGTTCCATTATATCATTTTAGAGCTGCTTTAAGTTGTGTTCTTCTTGTGAGAAATACTTGCCATAAAGAGAACCTGTAGTGGTCAAAAATTCTAAATGATACTTACTGTAAATAGTAGGCACCTCCTAAATGCCTTCACTCTGCTGTAGAGTGTAGGAACCCCAAAATCCAGGGTGTACTTACCAGTTGGTTACACATGTTTATCCCTGGTTCTTGCCCCACCTTTCCTGCTTCATGTGTTTTAGGTTGTGCACCCATTTACTGCAGGAGGAAGAAGATTGCAAGGTGAAATCAAGGAATATGATATTCACATACACAGACTATGATAGGAAGATCTTGTTGCTGAAGTTCCCTAGAGCTGTAAGAAATCAGCAGCAGATTCAGCCCACCAGACTGTAGGATGGGGATGGACTTTCCCTTTATAGAATAAAAAAACGAAACATATAGATCAGGCAAAACTTACCAACCGATCATGATTAAATTAGAATTAAACTCTTGGAAAAGAATACTATTCCTGACCATAAATGAATTGCAATTTCAGCAGGGACTGGCTGAATTCCGATCCATCTATGGCCATTCTCACTCAAGAGAAGTCGATATAAGGATTCTCTAATGGGACTGTTGGAAAACTTTCATTTGATCAGTGCCTGCAGCTAATCGTCTGCAGTACTGATCGATGTATTCTGACAGCTGAGGAGTCCCTGCTGTCAGAATACAGTAGCACAGTGAGGAGGATTCCACCATCCAGCTCGTGTGGATGGGAGAATCCGTATGTTTTTTGGATCATCCTGCTGGCTGATCACAAAAAAACAATCCTATGTATAGTCAGCCTTAGTTTTGTATGAAACAAGAAGAGCAGGATTGCAATATTTTTTGTTAAAAGAGAAGTATGGCCAAAGCTTTACTTGTGCCCCCCTGTGACCCAGAATCAGCCGACAATGCTCCAGGCTCTGGAAGGCTTGCAACCATATTGTCATGATCCACCCAGAACCCAATTTGCAACTGGCTCTGGCTCTCAGCACTCGGCTGAGAGCCAAAGTCAGCTGTGCCTGCCACCTCTCCAGCCCGGTGTTCCAGTGAGCACTGGAGGTGCAAAGCAGAGAGCTGTGCTCTGTGCTCAGAGCTGACCAAGAATTGAGTGATCAGCGGTCATGTGATTGCTCAGTTCTCAAGTTTAGAGAGGGCCAGGGACAGTTGTAGCATTTAGACTGATGTTGCAGCATGGAGGTGAGTATGTGTGTTTGTTTTTCAATGCACCCCAAACTTCTCCTTTTTAAAACAAAAAACAAAAATGTATTTCAGCTTACCAATCATTAGATGTAGTGGCTGCATCAGTTTTCTTTTTAGGCTTTTTCCCTCTGTTTTCACCTGGCAAACTGGCCAGTAACACACCTGTAATATACAGGCACCACTCTGGATGAAGGAGCACAGGCAGCAGATTTTGACAGCAGCATTGTCAGAGTGTTAGATGTACTGGTAGTTTTAAATACAGTAACACACTGAAGCTGAACTCCAGCTAATACTTTTAATCAGTTACAGCAAACATGTTTTTCCTTTTGGGATAAAACAGAAGAAAGCCTAAAAAAGGAAACAATACAGCCATCACATAACAGAATTGGTAAGCCACAATATAATAAATGTTTGCTTATATTACTGCTTTAATAAAGTACAGTTTTCCCCTAGTTTGTTCATGTTTTCTTTCCCTGCACTGTGCATCACCTGTTGACTCTTTGTATGAACTTCCTGTGGATGTTTGCTTCAGAGGCAACTGAATATCCTAGTCTTGCTGTGGAGACTATGGCAGAATGTGCCAGTACACTGTGCTCTAGCAGAGCTGCTTGTAGTCTCCAGAGTGTGCAGGAAAAGGTAACATTGTTGCAACTTTTTGACATTACATGTGCAGCAACATATTTGTTTAACAGTTTAGTATTCGATACACTTTAATGTGGTATTAAGCCCCAAAACATAAATGTATTGTATTTCAGTTTACCAATTTTTAGATGTGGTGGCTGTATTAGTCTTCTTTTTTTTTTTTAGGTTTTTCTTCTTTATTTTTACCTGGTGGTTTAGCCTGGAAATCTGTTATCTTTTAGCTTTTATGATCAAGCTTCCAAAAAAAGTTCCAGGTAGAGGGTGAGACAAACTATGTCCTACTGACATGGGTGCTTACAATGGTCAACTTTATTTGTTAATGTATAACCTTTATCCCCAAAAAAAGTGCTCTGTTTAAAATGGTATACTTGGAATTTGGCTTTAATTTCTTAGTGAAGTCCAACTAAATCACATTTAATCCAAAAGACAAACGAAACCAGCGCTCCAATCCTCATGCAGACTAAAAGAAATTCAGGATGCCAGACGAAGAGGTGCTGCCCTTCAAAGATCGGGAAATCTGAACACTGATGAAAAAAAGAAGACAACGGCGCACTCTCGTCGTGCATTACTGTGGTATACCACGTGTTTATTGTATAGACAAATGGATGTATACTCACAAACCAAGGAAGATAAAAGGACACAGCATTTGTGTGACTGGTATTGCGGACCACATATTCTGCTTTTATCTTCGTTGGTTTGTGAGTATACATCCATTTGTCTATTTAATAAACACGAGGTATACCACGGTAATGCACGATGAGAGTGCGCCCTTGTCTTCTTTTTTTCATCAGTGTTCAGATTTCTAAGTCACATTTAACCCTACCCTCTCTACAGACTGACAGTGCTGCTGTCCAGAGATGTCTTTGTTGCTCCTCCATTCAGAGGCGACTCCCTAAAACAGGAAGTGTATTACTTGTCAGCTCACCAGGTAAAAATAAAGGGGAAAAAAAAGCCGGGAAAAAAAAAGAAATCTAATGCAGCCACCACACTTAAGGAATGGTAAGCTGCAATATATTTATTTTTGGTTTAGTACTGCTTTAATATATTCAAGCTGTTTAACCAGCCTGGTAGGAATATGAAGCAGCATGTGGTAGAGCCAACACATCATTTCTTGATTGTTGTACAACCTCTGCACAGTATGTGCTTTCACTGTATTGTGCTTTCAATGTCCTGATCTAACCTTGTCATATGCTCAATATTTTTCATTGTTTTATGTATCCTTTAGAAGGATGACAAGTACAAGAGACACAAGCAGAAGCAAAGGCACAAGGATAAGGCCAAGCATTCAGAGCGCTTGGAAAACAGAGATTACTCATCACTACGCCAGTGTTTGGGGCCAAGCTGTGTCCAGCCAGCGCGAGCCAACTCTAAGTACTGCTCTGATGACTGCGGCATGAAGCTGGCAGCCAAGTGAGTGCAGTGGCCTACATTACAACTCTCTACTTTCACTAGTCTGTTTTCTAGTAAAAGATTTGCAGCTTTCCCTATTGTATAGGCTACCATTCGTGTGTTTGTTGAAGAAGACCACTAAACCAAATCCTAGATAGTTTTAAAAACCGCATAGCTCTAGCACCCTTGTTCCCTAAAGCCTTAAAAGCTGGAGATCCATAAATATTTGTTTTTTCTAAAATTTAGTTTGCTCTAGGTCAGTGTTTCTCAACCTTTTTTCAGTCAAGGCACCCTTTAAAATTATGGATAGTCTTGAGGCATCCCATTCTAAAATAAAGTGCCTCAAGACTGTCCATAATTTTTTAAAAGGACACCCTGTTCTAAAATGTGAAAAACTATTTTAATAGTTTTATGTAACGCAGCACGTAGAACACTCAATGTTAATGTTAATATGTATTAATATTTCAAAAATGTATTTCTTTGTACAACGTGTGTGTGTGTGTGTGTGTGTGTGTGTGTGTGTGTGTGTGTGTGTGTGTGTGTGTGTGTATGTGTGTGTGTGTATATATATGTATGTGTGTATGTGTGTATATATATATATATATATATATATATATATATATATATATATAGTATATATATATATATATACACACACACACAAACAAACCCCTTTGGGCCGTTAGCCGAAATGAAAAATAGCACACGATACAGGTGCTAAAAATCCTCGCCACCGTTGCCGCCGCCCGCCCGCCTCTGCTGCCACCGGCCACCGCTCGGTAGTTCTCAGCCTTACCTGAGAAACCATTGAGCGATCCCAGCGCTGGACATAGAGATGAGTGAAGGAAAGATGGCCTCCACTCATCTCTATGCCCTTAGACGACCGGAGCGATGTCCCTTCCGGTTCCGGACAATTTTTTTTTTTTTTTTTTAAAGCACTAGATCAACGCTTTTTTTTTTTTTTTTTTGATCCAATGCTTTACATTGCAGAGGAGAGATGTGGGGTCTTATTGACCCCATATCTCTCCATAAAGAGGACCTGTCACTAATTAGTTATATCACAGGGGATGCATGCATTTCTTGTGATAAGGATAAAAGTGATTAAAATAAAAAAAAACAAAACAAAAAAAAAACATTAAATAAATGTTAAAAAAAAGGTTTAAGATGCCCCCGTGCTTGTACGTAATGGTGGTCGCATACATAGGCCATGCCCCTATATGTAAATGGTGTTCAAACCACACACGTGGGTATCACCACGAATGTCAGAGCAAGAGCAATAATTCTCACACTAGACCTCCTCTGTAACTTTACACTACTAACCTGTAGACATTTTTAAAGCATCACCCATGGAGATTTTTAAGTACCGCAGTTTCACGCCACTCAACGAGCGTGCGCAATTTTAAAGTGTGACATGTTGGGTATGTATTTATGTGCTGTAACATCCTCTTTCATATTTTACAAAAAAATTAGGGTATCGTATTTTTTTTTTTTTTTTTATCAAAGTATTTTTTTTTCCAAAAAATATATATTCATTTTTAAAAACTGCGCATTTCGGGTTTTCAGCCAGGTGCATTTTGAATTTTTGGTTTCGGCACTACTCTTTACATATTCTGCTTCCTGCTTGAAATGGCTGTTCCTTCTGACCATGCAAATATATGGGTTGGTCGGCTCACTGAAAACATTGCAATTCCTGTGTGGCCAATATTACATAGTTGGTCTGGCTGAGAAAAAGACAAAAGTCCATCCAGTTCAACCATAGGAAAAAAAAAGTTATAATCCTATACCCACAGTTGATCCAGAGGAAGGCAAAAAAACCCAGCAAAGCATGATCCAATTTGCTCCTGCTGGGGAAAAAAATTCCTTCCTGATCCCCCAAGAGGCAATCGGATATTCCCTGGATCAACTTTACCTATAAATGTTAGTATCCAGTTATATTCTGTGTATCTAAGAAACAGTCCAGACCTATTTTGAAGCAATATGTAATCTCAACAGTGACACTTACTCCTTGCAAGCTTTCTCTAATGGCTAATCTACAAATCCCTATATTCATCCCAAAAGGGGCTACACAACAGATTCACTGTAGAGCTCAGGTAGATCTGAGAACTATCCCTTTGACCCAATGTAGCAGATAAATGAGCTAGTCACAAAGCACTAGTTTTGTTATATGACATAAAAGGAAGAGGCTCTGCAGTGGGCAGACCAACAAGGGGGGGCGTAGGAAAAGTGGATATATTTTGTGTGTGTGTGTGTGTGTATATAAAGTGGGGTCCAAAGAATAAAGTGAACCTGTTGCTTTGTTGTCACAAAGAGCACAGATATAATGTAATGTAAACACTGCAAAAATAACTCAATGGGGTTGATTTACAAAGAGTGCAAAATCTGGTGCAGCTGTACATGGTAGCCAATCATCTTCTAATTTCAGCTTGTTCAATTAAGCTTTGAAAATAAAACCTGGAAGCTGATTGGTTTCTATGCAGAGTTGCACCAGATTTTGCACTCTCCAGTTTTAGTAAATCAACCCCAATGTGTCCATTGTAAGTATACTAGGCTTTGCCTTTTATGATGTCAACAGTGCAAAGCAAAGCTCTTCTTTAAAATGGATTTAGACTTGCTATGATTTTCTTATAAGTTTTTTTCTCCTTCATGTTTGTCTTCAGTCGGATCTATGAGATCCTTCCACAGCGCATCCAGCAGTGGCAACAGAACCCATGCGTTGCTGAGGAACAAGGAAAGAAGTTGCTGGAACGGATCCGCAGAGAGCAGCAGCAAGCTCGAACAAAGCTTCAGGAAATGGAGCGTCGCTTTCACGAGCTGGAAGCCTTAATCAGCAAAGCCAAACAGCAGCAGATCCGAGAGGATGAAGAGGTATGGCCATTTGTCAATCTTTGTTAAATCGCTGGAGGACATTTACAGAAGGAGAATCCTGAAGGAGACACGTTTAACCATAATTATTTGTTTATGTTTAACAGACCAATGACGGGGACAGTGATGACACAGATCTTCAGATTTTCTGTGTGTCATGTGGCCATCCAATTAATCCCAAAGTTGCTCTGAGGCACATGGAGCGCTGTTATGCCAAGGTGAGAATATTCTGAAGAACACCAACAATATTCAAAGAAAATACCAGATAGAAGAAAGAAGGCATTCTATAGACCAGTCACTATATGTTTGTATTAAGCATGTGCCCGGTACATGGGAAATACACCTGAGCTTGTTCTCTTCTTTTTTCTATATTGTATTTTCTATGTGTGGCGAAGGTGAGCTGAGAGCTGAAATCCAGGACTGAACGACTGGGGGGAGGAATGTCTGGAGCAGAACAGCAACATTTTTATTTTTCATAGAAGTTTTCAATTAAAGAGCTAAACTCTTTAACACTTACCAATGGATTTCGGATTTGAGTGATTTACATCTGTTAGTACATAAACATCCGCTGGAAAGCTGAGGGCTGTTTGGTAGTCAGCATGGCACCTCTGTGCAGAACATTGTTGATGATAATCTTGTATATTGTGAACATCAAATGCTGAGCAGTGTAACTATGTATGTCAATGTAGGCTTCCTACTGTCAAAACGTAGAGAAGAATGTTCAGTACAGAATTATTTGATCCAACGCCACAGACGGCTTCCTGGAATTTTTCTGCATTTGATGTTATAAAAGAGCCTAGAATTGCTATTTAAAAAAAATCAATATGTAGGTTTTGTAGGTTTCTAGTTATATTGGGGAATCAGTAATTCTCCTGTTGTGCATTTTCTCCTAGTATGAAAGCCAGACATCCTTTGGATCAATGTACCCTACCAGAATTGAAGGGTATGTTTTGCTTCACTGGACCTTGCAGTCCCCTTTTATCACTGCTCTGCTTGTTTCTTTGGCTATGTTTTGTTGTTCATAAACATATTTGTTTTCCCATTTACAGAGCTACCCGTCTCTTTTGTGACGTGTACAACCCACAGAGTAAAACCTATTGCAAGCGTCTGCAAGTTTTATGTCCGGAACATTCACGAGACCCCAAGGTTAGGCTTTGTTTCCTGCTGTAACATCAACATTTTAAAGCATGTTTTTCAATGACCAAAGCAGAACTACACTGCACTGAGCACCTGAGCACCAAAAACCAAAAAGGCTAATACATTTCTAATATTCAAAGTAAACTCACTCATCCATCAATGTCTGCATGCTTTATTTTGCTGAGAAATCACCTTGAAAAACACCGCCAACCTATTCTGTCCATGGCCATATTGAGTAAGGGCAGATGATATAGCTCTTACTTCCAGGAATCCATCTGCCCTTAGCTCAGGCACGTAGGTTGGAGGGTGTGCTTGGCTAAGAAAGCCCCTCCTGACTCATGAGATGTGTGATATCATTTGCTTAGGTATAGAATCCAGGAAGTAACTGAAGAAATGCAAACAAAAGTTTATAACAAATAAAAAGTATGATATACCTTTCAATCTATTTAATATTGCTAGCAACATAAGGATTAAAGGATAAATGCACCTTTTCTTAAAAGAATATAAATGCACTTTTTTTTGCAGGCAAAAGGCAGATCATGGGTGCAATGCAGAGTTCCTGCAGACTATCAGATTAGCTGTCTGCCTGTACCTAATACAGGCAAGCAGTTACTTGAGAGCAGGAAGAATCAATGAATTACAAAGGTGCTCACCAGCGCCCCCCGTAGTTCATTAGCCACTTCCCGTTATATATAAACGGCCGGAAGGTGGAAGTGCAGTTGCCGTTCATAAACGGCGCCTGCCATTTTGGACTGTGTGCTCCCTGGGAGCGCGCGGCACTGCGATCCGGTGCCCGCTGTGTCCTCCAGGCACAGCAGAACACTGATCGCTGTACGGGACCTCTGTGTGAGGTTCCGATCATGTGATCACTGATTGGCCAATCAGTGATCACATGAATAGGTGTAAGCAAGATGTCACTTCTGATATCATTGCTTACTACGTGTGAAATCTGTGAATGATCACAGAGGTCACATGGTACAAGGCTATTCACAACAGCCTTGTACCCTGTGACAAGCTGTGACCAATCACAGCTCGCACAGTAGTTCTCAATGGCTGCAAGAATGCAGCCAGAGAGAAGGAGAAATGATTGCTTTTACAGCATTTATGGGTGTAAAAGCAATCAGTGTAAAAGAAACAAAAAAAAAAAAAAAAAAATTTATCACCCCCCACAAGTAGTACAGTGTCACCATGGTGACACTGTACTGCTAGGGTGACAGTATTTTTAAAAAAAAAACCCATAAATAATAATCTAAAAAAAAAAATAGAAAATGTAAAAACATTTTTTTGAAAAATTATAATTTTTGGTTATAAACTAATTTGGGTATTTTTTTTTTACTAAAAAGATAACTGAATACATTTTGGCCAAGATTTATGAAAAAAGATTATTTGCAAAATTTTATAAGAAACTTTTTTTTTTTTTTCAAAATTTTTGGACTTTTTCATTTATATAGCAAAAAAAAAAAAAAAATCCCAGTGGTGAATAAATACCACCAAAATAAAGTTTTATCTGTCTCAAAAAATGCTTAAAAATTCATATGGGTACAGTGTTGCATGACCGCGCAATTGTCATTCAAAGTGTGATAGCACTGAAAGTTGAAAATTGGCCTGGACAAGAAGGGGGTGAAAGTGTCTGGACTTGAAGTGGTTAAAATGCAATGGCTGACGGTAGTTGTAGTTCATTCACAGGAAACTGTGAATAAATTAAGAGGCTGTCAAGTGACAGCGGGTGGGACGGGGGGGGGGGGGGAGAAGATTGGTGGAATTGGCGACAGAGACTGTGACGTGTTAAATGTTCCACCTTGCTAACGTGTATATAAATATGTTGAAAATTCTGCTATTTGTCACACTACTGCAAGATGGATTTGTAAAGAGTATCTGCAATACTCCAATTCGGAGAATTGTTTTAACTATATCCCAAAACAGTTAAATCAAGGCAGGCCTCTGTTGAAAACTGTCACTATTGCCAGTGTGCTTATGTCAGTTCTCAACTGAACTTTTCAGACCTCAAATGTCTGGTGTCATAGCTAATCACATGCAGAATCATGGCCACTGGACATTTAAAGTGGAACTTTAGGTCCAAACATAAAAAAGGGTGAACAGGTAGGAATTTTAATACAAAAGAGACATGCTTTGTCTCTTCTGCATTAAAGTTACTTGCCTGTCTTCTTCTGTACAGTATGCCTCACGTACGCAGCCCACTACACAAATTCGGCAGTGCCGAATCTGATGGAACTCCCGCACATGCGTGGGAGTGACGTCATCCCTGCCTGGCCAATGAAAGTGGCTGGAAAGTGAGACCTGGAAGCAGCCTAATTGAAGATGTCCGCAGCCAGACAGGGAGCTCTGGGATACCGTGTTGCTGGAGTTTAGGTGAGTATAGTTCCGCTTTAAGTAGAGAACAGATGATTCCATATTCAGCTGTAAAGAATAGAAGGGTTGAGTTCCACTGTAGGAGACATCATTAGCATAGTAGCTGACAGATTTTTAGAGGGGGAGAGGGAGGTTTGGCAGTTAATTTGGGTACATAATAAACTTTGAAGGCTCAACTGATATCTACTTTGTGACAGACAAAGGACTTGTCTTGTAGTGTGGGAAGTATGTTTAAAATGAGATAAAAAAGAGTAAAGCAAATAGAGAAGCATGTAGAAATGTGATACTGTTGGGATTCAATCATTTCTTTAAGGCTTTTTTTTTTCTATGCTCCCTCTTTGTTGAAAAGCCAGTTATTTATAGAACTAAATACATCAACGCAATGATTATTTCCCTTTTCTTTTAGTTTTACTGTGTTCAGATGGGGCCTAATGATGTTTGTCATTTTGCTGTGAACCTTTATCTTTGGGTGCACACATTTTGGGTTTATTAACCTCCTTAGCGGTATTCCCGAGTGTAGCTCGGGGTAAAATTTCTATACCAAAAGCGGTAACCCCGAGCTACACTCGGGCTTACCATGTGGCGCTGCTCTGGGGGTCCCTGCAGCACTTACCTTGTCCTTCGCTCCCGCGATGTGTCCCCCTCCAGCGTCCCCGGACATCTCCTCCGGCCGATGCCGGCATCCGCCTTCTGTGTTCTGTTCCCTGTGACGTCGGGATGTACGGGAAATTTGAATTTTTGAAAAAATTTCATTTTTGCTGTCATTGCTATTTCAATGCATTTCACATACATTTTGTCCCTACTGCTTTGTCCTGTCCCCTGCCTGCATTTTGAATGTTCTTTCTGCCTGGAAACTTAGAAAAGTCCATGGCGTCCAAAAAGCGTCCCTTTACGTCAAAAGCGGTTTTAGAACAGCGATAGTAAATCAGAACCACTTGCAGAATTGAGTGATAATGATTTGTGGGGAAATTCGTCATCACACACTGAAAACAATTTTGCGACTTTGCTCAGCGATGTGCGAATTTGCCTCTGTATTTCAAATTTCAGTGTTTTTGGTTTGATTATATTATTGAATTAAATTTAATATTATTATATTATTATTTTTTTATGATTATTTATTAAATTATAATTTATGATTTCGTGTTTCAAATTTTATCATATCCAGAATGTTTAATAGACTCTTGTTCGGACAGATTTCAGTGAGTTATTCCTAAAAATTACAGCCTACAATAAAAAACTACATATTTCCATGCAAAAAAATGGTACCGCTTTCAGCACAAAAAATCGGAAAGAATCATACCGCCGAGGAGGTTAAACATAAAATTGTATAAAATGATTACTGTATAGTGCTGCCTTCGTTTTTAGAGGTGCAGGCTCAGAGTTTTTCACTATGACGCTGACATCAGTACCCAGTGAAGTCACAACTGCTTTTTCTGTCTTGTTATCAGGTGCCAGCAGATGAAGTGTGTGGCTGTCCCATCACAAAGGACGTCTTTGAGTTGACAGGTGAATTCTGCAGAGTCCCAAAGAGGAAATGTAACAGGCACTACTGCTGGGAGAAACTGCGCCGCGCTGAGGTGGATTTAGAACGCGTCCGTGTGGTATGTACCTTGTGATTTTCAGTATATATTAAATGTCTTCGTATCTGTTAGGCATCACTTATATGAGCAATGAACATCATAACCTTATTCATCGCTTCTTAAAGCCCTGGCAGCATTTAGCACATTTTCTAAATGTTCTAGTATGTTCAATAACCTGGACTAAACAATGATTTATCAAATGCTATATGCCCACTCTAATTCTAAGCTCTGGTTCACATCTGTGTGGGCTGCAATTTGCGTGGGCACGAGAGTCCATTCATTTGAATGGACTCCCGTTTTCCGGGACACGCAGGGAAAGAAGTCCCTGCACTACTTGGGAAATCGCAGCCCGCACAGGAACCGAGGTTCCCAGTACGGTTGTGATTTCCAGTGCGGGCGGCGTGCCATTAAAACTAATGGCACCCGCCTGCAAGTCCCCCATTCCTCTGTGTAGGTGGTGTGGCTACAGGTATTTGTGCGGATCCAGCAGCAGCATATGAGCAATAAACATCATAACCTTATCAATCGCTTCTTAAAACCCTGGCAACATTTAGCACATTTTCCAAGTGTTCTAGTATGTTCATTAACCTATACTAAACAATGATTTGTCAAATGCTACATGCCCACTCTAATTCTAAGCCCTGCTTCACATCTGTATGGTTGTGCAGGCTGCAATTCGCGTGGGCACAAGAGCCCATTCATTTGAATGGACTCCCGTGCCCTGGGACATGCAGGGAAAGAAGTCCCTGCACTACTTGTGAAAATCACAGCCCACGTGGGAACCGAGGTTCCCAGTACGGTTGTGATTTCCAGTGCGGGCGGCGTGCCATTAGAACTAACGGCACCAGCTGTGAATCCCACATTCCTCTGTGTGGGTGGTGCGGCTGCAGGTATTTGTGCGGGTCCCGCAGCGGAACCACCCGCACAGATGTGAACCGAGGGTAAAGGAGGGTTAGAAGTATAGATGACCAACGAAGTGTGAAAACAGTGCATCCACTATGTATGCCTATCTGTACTTACTCATTCTCCACAATGATGCAGAAAAGAAGACATTTTCTTTTGTAAACAAAGCTTTATAGTGTATTGCAGGGACACAACATTCCTCTGGAGTAGCAAGCTCTGCATACAGAAGTTTGGACACCACAAGACTTCTTTATGAAAAGATGTTTGCCCCACCACTAGGCAAAATAATTTTTTCTAGAGAAGGAGTTTATTTTTTTTTTTTTTCAATGCGTTTCTCTAACATTTTAGTTATGAAACAGATTTGTGCTAAGAGTAATATGGAGGCTGCCATTGCTGACCTTCCTCCTAAAAATGATTGTTGCCTGGCTGCATATCCAAAGGTTTCTGTCTTTTCTGAGTCGCTGACTTGAAACAAGTATGCAGATCAGGAATTCATACTTGATTGGCTACATGCTTGTTACAGGTGAGTGGTTCCGAAAGTAATGAAGCCACTGAGCCAATCCTTTAGCATTATTAGGGGAGATTAATGCACGGGTATCAAACTGGCGGCCCTCCAGCTGTTGCCAAACTACAATTCCCATGAGGCATTGCAAGATTGACAGATACAAGCATGACTCCCAAAGGCAGAGACATGATGGGACTTATAGTTTGGCAACAGCTGGAGGGTCGCCAGTTTGACACCACTGGGTTAATGGCAGCTTTTATTTTTTTTATCAGTATACAGGTGAAACTCAAAATATTAGAATATCGTGCAAAAGTTAATTTATTTCAGTAATGCAACTTAAAAGGTGAAGCTATTATATGAGATAGACTCATTACATGCAAAGCAAGATCGTTCAAGCCATGATTTGTCATAATTGTGATGATTATGGCTTACAGCTGATGAAAACCCCAAATCCACAATCTCAGAAAATTAGAATATTGTGAAAAGGTGCAATATTCTAGGCTCAAAGTGTCCCACTCTAATCAGCTAATTAAGCCATAACACCTGCAAAGGGTTCCTGAGCCTTTAAATGGTCTCTGTCTGGTTCAGTAGGAATCACAATCATGGGAAAGACTGCTGAACCTGACAGTTGTGCAGAAAACCATCATTGACACCCTCCATAAGGAGGGAAAGCCTCAAAAGGTAATTGCAAAAGAAGTTCGATGTTCCCAAAGTGCTGTATCAAAACACATTAATAGAAAGTTATGTGGAAGGGAAAAGTGTGGAAGAAAAAGGTGCACAAGCAGCAGGGATGACCACAGCCTGGAGAGGATTGTCAGGAAAAGGCCATTCAAAAGTGTTGGGGACTTTCACAAGGAGTGGACTGAGGCTGGAGTCAGTGCATCAAGAGCCACCACACACAGACGGATCCTGGACATGGGCTTCAAATGTCGTATTCCTCTTGTCAAGCCGCTCCTGAACAACAAACAACGTCAGAAGCATCTTACCTGGGCTAAAGAAAAACAGACCCGGTCTGTTGCTCAGTGGTCCAAAGTCCTCTTTTCTGATGAGAGCAACTTTTGCATCTCATTTAGAAACCAAGGACCCAGAGTATGGAGGAAGAATGGAGAGGCACACTCTGCAAGATGCTTGAAGTCCAGTGTGAAGTTTCCACAGTCTGTGTTGATTTGGGGAGCCATGTCATCTGCTGGTGTTGGTCCACTGTGCTTCATTAAGTCCTGGGTCAACACAGCCGTCTACCAGGAGATTTTGGAGCACTTCATGCTTCCTTCTACAGACGAGCTTTATGGGGATGCTGACTGCATTTTCCAGCAGGACTTTGCACCTGCCCACACTGCCAAAAGCACCAAAACCTGGTTCAATGACCGTGGGATTACTGTGCTTGATTGGCCAGCAAACTCGCCTGACCTGAACCCCATAGAGAATCTATGGGGCATTGCCAAGAGAAAGATGAGAGACATGAGACCGAACAATGCAGAAGAGCTGAAGGCCGCTATTGAAGCATCCTGGTCTTCCATAACACCTCAGCAGTGCCACAGGCTGATAGCTTCCATGCCACGCCGCATTGAGGCAGTAATTGCTGCAAAAGGGGCCCAACCCAAGTACTGAGTACATATGCATACTTATACTTTTCAGAGGTCTGATATTGTTCTATGTACAATCCTTGTTTTATTGATTGCATGTAATATTCTAATTTTTCTGAGATTGTGGATTTGGGGTTTTCATGAGCTGTAAGCCATAATCATCACACTTATGACAAATCACGGCTTGAACTATCTTGCTTTGCATGTAATGAGTCTATCTCATATATTAGTTTCACCTTTTAAGTTGCATTACTGAAATAAATGAACTTTTGCATGATATTCAAATTTTTCAAGTTTCACCTGTAGGTATGTATCATTATGCACCGTGAAATATATTTCCTAGTAGGGTCCGGTGGTGCTGCATGAAAGCATTAGATGTGACCGGTTACCCAATGAACCTGTTTACCATTCTAAATGACCACAGAGATTGTGAGGGGATTTTTCCTCAACAGGCAAAGCAACAAAAACTGGACAAGGGCTCTAACCCTCCTTCACTTTATAAAAATGCGTAAACAAAATGTTTTGCCTGGAATTTATTAACATTTTAAAGTATGAAAATACTCCTCTATTACTTGAGCAGACCTTCTTAAATAGAACCTATTTTTTGTGTCCTAGTGGTACAAACTGGATGAACTCTTTGAGCAAGAGCGCAACGTCCGAATGGCCATGACCAACCGAGCCGGACTCTTGGCTCTGATGTTACACCAAACGATTCAGCACGACCCTGTGACCACAGACCTACGCACTCACACTGAACGCTGAGTCTAAGAAGCTTCCATATCTTATCTCCACAGAGGGAGAGAGGGCTTTGTATTAAATACTGACATTTCTTTAAACTTTTATAAAACTTTGTGCGGAGCTGATGTTTAAGGAGACTGCAATTTTGTCCTGAATTTTTCTTATGTTTTATCTCGCATCATTTATGTACAGGATGGAACTTCAGTCTTTTATCAGCCATTTTTAAACAGAATATTTCATTCTCATAGACTGCGTTGAAGCGCACGGAGGATTGTTTTTGTGGTCTGCGGAAAATAATATTTCATGAGTGTTCTGAGGAAATTTTCCGATTGGCTCTTTATTAGAATACCCTAGCTGAGAGATTTTCAACTACAGTTTTCCACATAAATGTGTCTTGTATTTTATTGAATATGAAACTGTTATTTTTTTTAATAGACCACTCCATGCAAATATGTATTCGCTCATTTATTTTTTTAAATACCATGAAATGTGTGTTTTTTTTGTTTTGTTTTTTTAAATAACTGCCTGAAAACTGTATTTCCAGATGTCACATGACCGCTAAAAATTTAAATCAGGCTTGTATTATTAATATCTACAGGAGAGAGTGGTACATAGGAGGGGAAGAGCTCAGAATGGAAATTAATAGTGTGATGTTTACTGTTAATCTAAAGAGCAGGCAGGGGGCAGGACAGTAATATGGAATTACATTACATAACCATCCAGCACAACAAAATTCAGTAGGAAAAGCTTGTGTATATGGCCATATACCTAAGTGTGCATGGACAAGCAATTCAGCAGTAACCAAAAGCAACTCCCTAGGTAATCTTAAAGGATAACTAAACCCAGCAACAAAAAAGCAAAATAAAGCAGCTTAACAGTCCCTAGATATGGTTGATGCATTAGTGTTTTTTTTTATTTATTTATTTTTTTAAGAACCTTTTCAGCAAATACAGAAAATACCCGTTGATCTTGCCACAAATGCAGTGTCCTTGTCACTTCCCATGAGCTGCGCTGAAGAATATCTTCTTCTCTAGCTATCTTTTGTAAACCACCAGTTGTCCTCCCCCTGATGTAACCGAGATGAATAGGTACAACGTGTTTATAGAGCCATGGCCAAAAGTTTGAGAATGACAATAATAATAATTTTCATAAAGTCTGCTGCTTCAGTATTTTTAGATCTTTTTGTCAGATGTTACTATGGTATACCGAAGTATAATTACAAGCATTTCATAAGTGTCAAAGGCTTTTATTGACAATTACATTGTTTAAATTGTTTAAGTGTACATTTTTGCAGTGTTGACCCTTCTTTTTCAAGACCTCTCCAATTCACCCTGGCATGCTGTCAATCAACTTCTGGGCCACATCCGGACTGATGGCAGCCCATTCTTGCATAGTCAATGCTTGGAGTTTGTCAGAATTTATGGGTTTTTTTGTTCACTCGCCTCTTGAGGATTGACCACAAGTTCTGAATGGGATTAAGGTCTGGGGAGTTTCCCAAGCCACTTAGTTATCACTTTTGCCTTACGCCAAGGCGCTCCATCATGCTGGAAAAGGCATTGGTTGTCACCAAACTGTTCTTGGATGGTTGGGAAAAGTTGCTCTTGGAGGATGTTTTTGTACCATTCTTTATTCATGGCTGTGTTCTTAGGCAAAATTGTGAGTGAGCCGACTCCTTTGGCTGAGAGCAACAACCCCACACATGAATGGTCTCGGGATGCTTTTTTTTTTTTGGCATGAGACAGGACTGATGGTAGCGCTCACCTTTTCTTCTCCAGTTTTTTCCAGATGCCCCAAACAATCGGAAAGGGAATTCATCAGAGAAAATGACTGTACTCCAGTCCTCAGCAGTCCAATCCCTGTACCTTTTGTAGAACATCAGTCTGTCCCTGATGTTTTTCCTAGAGAGAAGTGGCTTTTTTGCTGCCCTTCTTGACATCAGGCCGTCCTCCAAATGTCTTCGCCTCACTGTGCTTGCAGATGCACTCATACCTGCCTGCTGCCATTCCTGAGCAAGCTCTGCACTGGTGGTGCCCCGATTCTGCAGATGAATCAACTTTAGGAGATGGTCCTGGTGCTTGCTGGACTTTCTTTGGCATCCTGGAGCCTTCTTCACAACAATTGAACCTCTCTTCTTGAAGTTCTCCATGATCTGATAAATGGTTGATTTAGGTGCAATCTTAGTAGCAATATCCTTGCCTGTGAATCCCTTTTTGTGCAAAGCAATGATGACTGCATGTGTTTCCTTGCAGGTAACCATGGTTAATAGAGGAAGTATAATGATTTCAAGCACCACTCCCCCCCTTTTTAATGATGCTTCCAACCTGTTATTCTAACTTATTCAGCATGACCGAGTGAGCTCCAGCCTTGTCCTTGTCAACAATGACACTTGTGTTAACGAGAGAACCATTGACATTATTATTATTATTACACACAGGATTTATATAGCGCCAACAGTTTGCTCAGCGTTTTACAATATAACGGGAGACAATACAGTTCAATACAAGAGGGCTAGGAGGGCCCTGCTTCTTGGAGCTTACAATCTAGGAGATGTCAACTGGTCCTTTTGTGGCAGGGTTGAAATGCAGTGGAAATTGTTTTGTTTTTTTGGGGATTAAGTTCATTTTCATGGCAAAAAGAGACATTGCAATTAATTGCAATTTATCTGTTCACTCTTCATAATATTCTAAGCATTTGAAAATTGCCATCATAAAAGCTGAGGCGGCAGACTTTGTGAAAATTAATATCTGGAGAGCAACCTAGGGTGATAACCATGGCTCCCACCAGAGATTCAGTGAAGGAGTGACGTAGCCCCCCAGGGACAGGAAGCGAGTTATCAGCAGGATCACCAGGTGAGAATAAAGCAAAACAAGCTTCAAAAAAGAAGAAAACCAATGCAGCCACCACACCAAGAACTTGTAAGCTGCAATATATTATATTTGTGGTTTTAGGTTAAAGTGTTACTAAAGTCAAAACATTTTTTTTTTACATTAAAATAACAAACATGTTATACTCTCCTGATCTGTGCAGTAGTATTGCGGCCCCGGTCCTCTTCTCAAGGCACCCCCCCCCCCCCCGGTGATCTTGGCTACTCCTCTTTTTTGTGTTTCTCCATAGCAAGCCACGTGTGTCTGCGCTCTTCCAAGCTGTGTGTCTATAGAACCACTCTCCATAGACTTACACAGCGGGACTTAGCCCCTCCCCTCACTTCCTGCTCACTGCATTTGATTGACAGCGGCAGTTGGCAATGGCCAGTGGCTCCTGCTGCTGTTTCAGTGCATCTGTGCAGAAGAAGAGAGGGGAGAAGAGATGCAGCCATGCACAGCACTGGATCTATTCTCCTCTTCCCCTTCATACAGGGAAGAGTGGGGCAGCGAAATAGAAAACATTTTTTACTTTAATGCGAGGAATGCGCTAAAGTATAAACATTTTTAGCTTTAGTATCACTTTAAGATACACTTTAAGCAGGTCAGTGAGACAAAATCAGGTCAAAGCAACTGTATTCGACCTTCTTCAGATCCTATAGCACATGTACACAAGCCTTTACCAGAGTATGCAAACTCATTTTCTAGTCTACAGTGCTTTAAAGAGGAAATACTATTACTTTTACTACCCAATGATAATATTACAATGGTTGCATAATTAACCTGCAATGAGCTCCCTTTCCAGGAGAAAAACACATAGGAAAAAAGGGAAAACAAACATAGTTACTTTACTTCCACTAATTACAGCAATACTATTATCCTTTTAATGTATTTGACCCTTGCCCTTTTTCTTTAGATGATGCTTATTCTAGAATATTTAGAATGTGGTCTTTGGAGCATAAATACAACATTATCCTGTTGAAACCATACCTGTGCTTTTCCTGTGCAGGACAATGGAGTGGTTTCACTTTAATGGTTTTCTCCCCATCTACACATACTCACCTTTCCTTAACTGCCCAGCCCCTCTATTCTGTTGCTAGGAGCAAGTAAAGGGACTCCAGTGTAAGGGCAAGTAGCTTTAGCTGGAGCTTTGATTGGGCTAATCTGTCTTTCTCTGCCCTCAATTAAACACCAAGTCTTGTCACCTGGGAAAAAGAGAAGTGAGCTGAAATCATCACAATGCCCAAAAGTATTGGGTATTTTCTCCACTTACAGTGGCTGAATGGAGTGGCAGAGGAGCAAAGGAAAGGCATGTGGAATGGGCATAAAGTAATGACAAAGCAAAGGTTTGCGTTAAAGTGTTACTAAACCCAGGACCCTGCATTCACTATATCTGGTCTCCCACAGTATACAGAGCATGGAAATGCAATAATTTTAGTAAATATAATTGCTAAAAAACTTTTTCTCATCAGCAGTTAGAGCAGTCTTGTGACTTCAATCAGTGTTCAGCAGAGCACTGGTTAAAGCTTATAGGAGGAGTTTTCATTCTGCTCTAGGAGGATGCAGAACCCCTGACCTCTGGATAGTGCTGATAGGCCCTGTGCTGATCAAAAGGACTCTCCCAAGAAAAGAAACCCACCTCTTTAGCAATACACATCAAACTGAGCATGTGCAGAGTGTCTCCACACAATATGTCTTATCAGGAAATAAGAGGGGCACACTGGAAAAAGGGGAGGATCAGAGAAGTCAGGATCAAACAGCATTTTTACACAATGCAGAGGATTAACCCCTTAGGTTTCACAGTGAGTATAACAAGTATGCTTTACTGCATATACAGACTGCTTTTACTGTTGTGGGTTTAGTAACACTGTAAGGCGAAGAGTAAGGACTGGTAGTTAACTGCAATCAGTCAGAACTTGTACTTCACTGCTCACATTGTGCTAAACCCCTGAAAGTGATAAATGTATGATTGCTACCCATTGCTGCACAATGTTGTTCATTTCATGATATTATTATATTAACAAAGACCCAAGCGTTACTGAAGGTTACAAAAAAAAATACCCTGACATTTGAGTAGATTCTGCTATAGCAGCATGTAGAGGTTCCACTGTGGAATTTTTTTTACATTGGTTTACAAGTAAAATCCTTTTCTTGGGAGTTCAT